CCTAATAAGCCTCCTTGGTGGGCAACATTTCACATGTATTTTCCAAATTCAATGCTGGAGAAATTAAGCATGCCTGAAGGATACTATCAGGAGAGGACTCTTAGCAATTACATCTAGTTTCCTCTGAACTCAGGTCATATGTCTTTTCACTTTTGTTTTATATCTTTTTGATGTAATAAATCTTAGCCATAAATACAACTATATGCTAAGTCCTGGGAGTCTCCTGAGCAAATCTGCCAAAGCCAGGAGACACAATCCAGTATAGATCTAAAGAGCAAGAACTGTGTCTTATATCTATCTATATTTCTCAGAGTACAAGAAATATATCTTATATATAACATATATTGACCATATTTGGTGATTGTTAGACTCTTAGCATACCCAAACCAGTCTAAAGATAGGTGGCATCTCCACTTCTGCATTTGTTAATATTGGTGAACACCAATGACATAAATATATGTGAAAATAATAGTACAGTTCAAACAACAAATGAAAAGTTCTCCACAGATGCAGGTTGGAATCTACAGCCCTCCAACTTGTTTCAAAGATGTTTTGATAATTCTCTGCCTGCAAAGTTCCTAAAGAATATCCTATGCATTCTTATTTTAATTCTCTTTTGCATCTATTCATAAATCTTTGGAATTTAACAAAATTTAACATACTTCTGTTGAGTTATGTATGCCTAATAGAAGAAGGGGTGAGGCATTTTATCAAACTTCTGTGTTAATTAACTGGAGCTCTGTGATATTTCAAAGAAATAATCCATGCTTCCTTATACTTTATAGAACTTCTCTAGAACTATACCCCACTTACTGGATAAAATATCAAAAAGACTGCAGCACAAACACAAAGGAAACATTAAAATGAAGCAAAAGAAGGCCCAAGGTAAGAAAGGCATTAGTAAAAGAATATAGCTAGGTTAAATAAAGTTCCAACCCATCCTGATGACCAAGTCTTAATCTCTCATAGCAAAAAGAAAAAAAAGCTCTGTAGTCGTTTGTTTTGGTGGCTCTGTTCACTGCCAATAGTATCACTGGCAAAAGAATTCTATAAAGTTGAAATTTATATTTAAATCAGTAACTCATCTTTTGGTACCAACACAGCTTATAATCTTGTCCAAACTACCACAATACTAAGACCAGGATTTTTGTTTTGTTTTGTTTTTGAGACAGAGTCTCAAGCTGTCACCCCTAGGTAGAGTGCCACTGCGTCACAGCTCACAGCAACCTCAAACTCTTCGAACTAAGCCAGGCGTCCTCAAACTAGGGCCCGCGGGCCACATGCGACCCACCCAGGGCATTTATCCGGCCCATCGGGTGTTTTTGCCGCCGCTCCCTGTCCTGCTTAGCTGCTGTCTGTCCTTTTAAACTATAGTCCAGCCCTCCAATGGTCTGAGGGACAGTGAACTGGTCCCCTATTTAAGGGGACCCCTGGACTAAGCAATTCTCTTGTCTCAGCCTCCCATGTTGCTGGAACTACAAGCACCTACCACTATGCCCAGCTACTTTTTCTGTTGTTGTTGTTGTTGTTGCAGTTGTTGTCTTAGCTGGCCAAGGCTGGGTTCGAACCTGCCAGTCAGGGTGTATGTGGCTGGCGCCCTACCCACTGAGCTATGGGCAGCTACAAGACCAGAATCTTGATTCTATAAGTATTTAATCTCTAAATCAAGCTACTTTAATCATATCAAGGTTCCAAAAGAACAGGTGATCACTATTTTTCTCTTCCAAAAGAAACAAATACTTTTATTACTTTACATTCTTAAAAATTTATTTTATTCAAATATTCTAAAATTGATGCCATTTTAATAACATAAACACTGCTTGACTGTCTTCCAAAGGCTAAGATTTATTGTTGTTTTCATTATACTGAAACGGCACAGTTATTGGAACTTAAAAAAATTCACTGTAGAATAAGAATTATGTAACTGTAGACTAAAGATAAATTTTAAAAGTATTAGAGTATATAATGATGAAACACTCTAAATGTTATCTACTGCATTAAGACAAAATTTTATTGTATTTAAATATTAGATGAAAATGCAATTCAGATGAAAACAGCATATAGTAAAAACCAACAGTAAACAGATAATGAAGGTATCATGTAAGCTGGTTAAAAAATCATAATGAAGACAGAACTAGTAAGAATATAGCAACCTGGATGAAATTGATATTCATTAGGGTACTCCTCACATCAATAGGGAACATTTGGACTTTGTGGTCTTTATCAGTGTCCCAGCTGGTAATGGTTGAAGGTTAATGCCTTACCCAATTCTGTTCAATTTTCTATCCTAATTAGCCCTCCAAATCTATAGCTGTGAGCACCAAGTGTCTGTGCTCAAAAGAAACTAATTAATGCTAGCAAATTAGATCAAGTCCAAAGATCCAACAGCCAAACTCTTAGTTAAATGCTCCTTGTTAATAGGAAGTGTAGCTGTCAATAACTGCTGTTGGTGACTATAATGAGGCATCTTTCCTTCATTGAAAGTGATTTCATTTCTCTTTGTCCCTGGAAAAGCTGTTCCATTCCCTGCACAAACCTAAGTTGCTGGCGGTCTGACCCAATTCTTACGATCAGCTGGGTTGAAATGACATAAGAAAAAAAAAAATCAGACAGAAAAACCTTCCTACATAATCACATTTCAGGCATTCAGCAGAAGTCAGATCACTTATTAAAATTCCTATATCTTTATCCAAGATTCAAACAATGAGCATACACAAGAGTTTTATATAAAATCCCATAATTATTTAATAATGCAAATGCTATAAATAGTAAATAAACTACAATGGAAGTGTCCTGACTCCAAATTATGTCTTATTGTTCAGTTTGAATGCAGCCTTATTCTGCTGCTTGGGCAATACTAATTTCATTCTTTCCTAATTTACATGGTTAAACAAGGAAAATACTTAGGATTTATTTTATAAAATAATCAATTTTAGACTCTTAAACAGTATTTTGGACCACATGGCCTAAAAAAAAAAAAAATCAATCTAAGGTTACCCATAAGAAATTTAAATATTCAAAAATCCAATTGTTATTTATAATGAACATACATTCTAATAACAGCAAATGCACTGAAATAATCCAAGTGAATCTCAGATTTTAAGATGTTTTCAAGCCTTTAGAAGACCATAAGCACATTAAAAAAAAAACAAAACCTAACCCTGTCAACACCCTAACCAACTTTTGATAAAGAAGTGAAAATTAAACACTTTCACTTCTGTACCATTATAAAGTTGTAGATGTGCAATGTAAATAAATATTTTAGTTATACTCCATTCTTTCATTTCAAAAAGTAAAAACAAAGTTTCACTGTCTATGAGTAAAGAAAGGCAGTTCTGAAACCCAAGGCTGGGCAATCACTCTGCATTCTCATCAGAATCACGTGGGTAAAAATTAAATCTATAATTAAGTTAGCTAACTTTTTTCCTTCTAGGTATCAGAACAATGTGTTACAAAACAGCATAAATGAACTTATTTTTATAACTTCAGACTGATATCTGTAATACATAAATACATTTTTACTATCTTTTTTTTTATTTATCATCCATTTTTAAGTTTTATCCTTCCTCATCTGAATCAGGGTATATATTTTTAATTAATTTTTAATTAATTTTATCCTTCCTCATCTGAATCAGGGTACATATTTTTAAAGTTCTAGGACATAAATGGGGAACACGTCTCTTGTGACTATCAGCATAACACCTGCCAATGCCAGATGTGCACCAAACCCTGTTTGCAGGTGACAATGGGCTCATTTTTCCAGACACTTGGGGGTGGGTGTTGAAGGAAGGTCCTCCGATTAAACAACTAATTCAAGTGAAAGCAAGAGTAAAATTCTGGAATGATTATTTTAATTTACTAACTTATTAATGGATTTTAAAATGGAATAGGTCATAAGAAGTCATTTAACTTAATAAACAGAAATGGCCACCACACATTGTTGAGTCTAAGGAACTACCGTTCTTTTATTGCCTCTATCCATCAACTGCAAAGATCTTCTATAAGGGCTGAGGGCAGGGGCAGGGACAGGGACAGGGACATAAATGACACAGTCCTGCAACTGGGACTGACACAGCCCTGCTCCCCTATATAGAAGTTTACAGTGAAAGTGTAGCCCATCATCCTAAAAATTACAGTGGTCCCTTGTCCCAGGAGAAAGTGAAGAGGAGGAGCCAGAAAAACAGCCTGTGTTAGTGAAATTTTGCAGAGTACTACTTCTTTTTGATGGCCACTTCAAGAGGTAGTTTTTGTTTAAATATTTCTACAGTAATATTGCCATCTGTTTCTCTAATTACTCATTATTTACAAATGTACTATGGCTGCATTTTTTACCTTCCACTGCTTTATTTATATTTTTCACTAGAGTGTTATATATACATTAATCAACAATATGTCTCTAGATTTACAGAATATAGGAATATTTTATGTTAAAAAATATTTTCCAAAGAAAAACATATACATGTGGGTGTCTGGTATATGTATTTATATAAATATCTTCCACTTAGAAACATACAACAAAAATAACACAGACTCACTGTTGGTCCTACTAGGATTCCATTAACAATTCAGCAATAGACAATGACACCAAAGAAAATCATCTTAGAAAATATATATATACTCAAATATATATACACGCATACATATGAATATGTTGACAGATGAAAAACAGGTACATGTTAGACTTGGCCTTTCTTCTTTCCCTATTAAAATCACCAGAACAACTCAGTTCTCCAAAATACACCAATTTTTTCTCTGTATATAACTGTACTTCTAGGGAGGAAAAAATGTTTTCCTAGTAATTTGGCAGAATATTTTTAAATTGTAAATGAATTGAACACTGCTGGAAGTTCTGAAAGCTGAAATACTGGAATTTCAGTGAAAGGGTGAGAAGCAATTCATACATATTAATTCACTGACTACTTGACTCACAGGCTAAGGATTAAATTCAGATCGTATTATTAAAAATAAATTTGATCTTTACATGAATATTTGAATCTTACCTTGAACTTGTTCAGAACACCTCTCTCTGGCCTTTTCTCTCATCATTTTAGGGATCAAAACATCTTTTTCGACATGTCTAAGATGCTGGTCTGGGAAAAAAAAGATCTTTCCTTAATATAAGTCTCCAATAAATCCACAGATTACAGGAAAAACAAACACTCTGGTTTACTTAAAACAAAAGCCTATGCAAATATATTCAAAACTGAGCCTTTAACAGCCTGATAAAACTATTTTAGTCACTGGAAACATCCTAAATATTTTTTGATATACAACCAAAAAAAAAAAAAAATACACAAGTAGCATAGGCAACATCTTTCCAAACATTATGTAAACTATCTGGTAGCATTTTTACTTAATAACATTTTCCCATGCAGTCTTGCCAAAATTAGAATGTAAATCAACTTATTATTAATATACCACAAAAAGTTTTTCATTGACACCAAGATCCAAGAATAGATGAAGAGATAACAAGATTCAGAAAAACACAAGGCGCTTTTCTACCTGGTAATCAAAGAAGACCTAAGCAAGAACTGGCAGAAGTGGACTACAGGTCCTTACCCAAAGCACATGAGATTTCTGTACATTTTAAATATAGCTTCTACAAGTGGACTACAATACCAGACTAAGCACCTACTCCAGAGTCCTACTCGCTCCTTAAATTCTTAAGAGTCCTGAAAAACAAACAAGGGGTAAGTGTCCTCAGTGAACCAGAAATGATGAGGAATCTCATTACTGAAAGACAAAAGGCAGAAGAGATCAGGTTAAGGAAGGTAATGATATTCCTATAGAGCACTCAGGGAAAAAAACTGATGACGAAGCAGGTGTTGGCTCCTGCTCTGAAGCAGCAAAATGGCAAGTGAGAAACTTCACTGAGGGAAACCCGAGTTATTGATTAAAGTATTTCTGTAGGAGACAAATGGTCAGCTTATCTTCTATCTTCAGACCATGGGTGAAAAAGGTAATATTAGGTATTTATCCCCAAAAGACCAGGAAGTTTCCAGTATCCAGTGACACGTAGGAAAACCAGAAACCCTAACCTCTTTCTGGTATTGTGTTGTTCCCAATGGTCTAGGAATGCAGGCAGCTATGAACTGACATATGTTTGCAGAGAAAGTAATGGAGCATCTCAAAAAGCAAACAAAATCACCAACAAAACATCTCAGGAGTACCCAAATTTGATGAAGGATAATATGGTGAAAGGGAGAAAGCAATTAGACTTAATCAAGAAGTAAACAACTCTAAAGAGTATTAAAAGAGTCAAGGGTTAAAGATTTTAGATTATTGTAATAAATCTACAGAGGCAAATAAAAAGACAAGAGGCCTCACATGGAATGGCCCATGGGTTACCTAAATGCACTTTGATGACAGATCTGAAACCCCAAAATACTGAAAGCTTCAAAAGGGAAAAGAAAACATTGCCCACATAAAGAAATGAGATCACATTTACATCAAGTCTCACTGGCAAAATAAAATGCAACAAGACAATGATGAAATAAGGTCAAAGTTCTGAATTATATCCAAATGTTCTAGAGTCAATTAAACTACCACCAATTAAGAGTGAGGTTAAGGGTGGCGCCTGTGGCTCAAAGGCAGGGCGCCGGCCCCATATGCCGGAGGTGGCGGGTTCAAACCCAGCCCTGCCCAAAAAAAAATTAAAAGAAAAAAAGTGAGGTTAAAAATTTTTTCAGATATATAGAAGCTAAAATGTCTACTACCTTCCAGTCCTACAGAAAAAGAAGTAATATTTCACTACAGTTGACTCTTGAATAAGAGTTGGTACTGTGTGGGTCCACTTATATACTGTTTCTATTCAACCAAAGGTAATTAAGTACACAGCATTTGGGGATGCAAACCTGCATAAGCACAAGGCTGACTTTCTGTATACGGGAATTCACAGGGCAGACCGCAGGACCTGAGTCTGCATCCTTTTTGGTTCATGTGAAAGTCCTGGAACCAGTCCCCAGGGCATATTGAGGGAGGACTGTGCTATTGTTATGCAATGACCACTAATCAAACTTAGTGATGTAGAACAATAAATATTTTATTGTACTTAGGGATCCTATGGGTCAGAGGGGCCTCATCTGGGAAGCTTCAGGAGACTGGTGTTGATTTCAACAGCTGCAGAAGCTGGAGCTGGAGGATTTACTTCCAAAATTACTTTTCTTCACCTACATATTTGACACCAGGCCTGGAACGGCCAAAGAAGTATTTAGGACTGTAAGCCTGAGCACCTACCCCCTTTTTTGGAGCCATGCAACACCATCCCTGGTAAATTATACTGATTTCAAGTCACTAAGGATAGCCAATTCTCACATTTTAGAAGGGCATGAGAAATGAGAGATAATGTTGTGGCCTTCTTTGTCAAATAAAATCTGTCACAAGAAGTAATAGAGAATATACTGTGATAGACTAAAACTGAAGCCATGATGCACAACTATGACATATAATATATAAAGCATATAAGAAAAACATGCCTTTAAATTAACTCATTAAAATTGCAAAGTACTTGAACAACATCATCACCTAACATCACCTAACTTGACCTAACTTTTATAGAATATTCTACCCAACAACAGTAGACCATCTACTAAGATAAATCATACTCTGGTATTTGAAACAAATTTCAATAAATCTGAATAAATTCAAGCTAAAGTATGTTTCTTTATACCAATATAATTAAATTAGAAATTTAGGCTCGGCGCCTATAGCTCAACCGGCTAAGGCGCCAGCCACG